ATGGCTCTCCAGTTCTTGGATTGGTTATCACATTGAGGTGTGAAGAATAGTTCACGCCTTTCAGGGATTGCTTTTTTCAGCCTCACAGTGTTTCTTAGGATGTAGATCTGAAGATGCTGAGGAATATTTCTTTCTCCACTACTTTATAGTCAAGATCATCTATAAAATGGGATTTTCGGAATGAATCTGTGTGGCTATGTTGGCAGCATCCACACCTGCAATAGGAGTCCTTTTGGGCTTCACAAATGACTAATAGGAACTCTGTATGTTCTTCACATACCACCCCCCTCAGCTCCTCTGCATCGTTCTGCATGGGTACACTCAGCTAGTGAATATAGCTGTACTGAAGCTAGTATCCACGTTTTTTGTTTCATCATCTAAAAGAGGAGATGAGAAGGACCATGTTCTGATTAGGGAGATTTTTATTTGCAGTCCTTCTTTTTGGAAGCTGTGATCTTGGAATGGAGCAGATAGAATTTTTTACTTCTAAATTTAAGCATTCTAAGCATACTCACACATTAAGGAAAAACTTCTCTTCCTGAATGGCTGTCTGTATATTTTTTGTGAATAATCTGATCTTTTTCTGCAAATAATCTGGCAATGTTCTCAAATTTTGCAACAGGAACAAGACATAATTTTGAGATGCTACTGGCTCAGATCAACCCTTCATCTTTATCGCTGTGCAAGCTACCCTAGATACTTACCACCCACTCCCTTGCTACTACAGTTGTGTCAGAATGCATCCCCTCTCTTTCACTGCTAGGTGGATAGATTTATAAGTGGAATTGTTGAGGGCACATCTTCATTCAGGTGAGGACTCCCATGCTACCTTTTCATTTGAAGCATTTCCTGCACCTTCCAGACAAGAATCATTTTAGTGTTCATCTAGCGTCTTTAGTAGGTCGCAGTGATCACCTACAAAGGGGACAGGCCCTGGCCATGAACTCTTCAACATCCCCTATGTTTCTGGTTAGAGATTAAAATTCAATTGGATCATGTTTGTGCTGGTAGTGCTGTCAGTTTAGAAGGTAACTTGTTCACAGTCTTGACCTACAAGTTGCTAAATTCCACGTTTTGATCTGGCCATATGTTGGAAGTGTTTTCATTTTGCCATGGATCAAGATTATTTTCAGTAAAGGAGACTGTTGTTTGGCTTGTCTATGCACCATGAGCTTTCTCTAGAGTCTTGGCACCGGTCATTTCAATCTTTGAGGCAATTGTCCCTTTTATGGATAAATGAAAGTGTACGTAGGAAGTAGAATACGCACTCCTGAGGATACTGCTGAGGTTAAAAAGTTAACAGCAATTGGTCTTGCCTGTTGGTACCTGTTGTAGTGAATGCATATATAAATAATGTATCTGGAAGAGTGGGTGCACACACCAACTTCTCTTTAAGGATTTTTTGTTTTTAGATTTAAAACTATGCAAAATTAGAGTAATCACTATTGTTAAACGGTAGGCCACAAACTATGAAATTATGATCTGCCTTCCAGGCCATATTTTATATTAACTGATAGAAGTGCAATTTCTGTGTATGCTGCTAAGTGAGATGTATACAAAGACTAATATTGACTCAGTATTCTGTTTTCTTCCTAGATCTCCATCTGCTGGTAGATGTAGCTTGCAAGCAGGAGCACTTTCCAAAGGAAGAAATAAGAGAGTGAGAAGTGGGTGACAAGTATGTGAAAATGTGCAGAAGCTGCCAGCTGGGTTCTCTTGTCAGACTCTAGGGGCAGTGCTTTGCGCACAACAGGCACTTTGGATCATTTCAGCTGTGTTTTAAAAAAAACTCCATTTTTTTTTACTTTCATTTTAAGTCTGTGGGGAACTAGTCATTCCGTTATTTACACCTCTTTCATTAAATTTTCCACCTGATAAGTAATAAAACATCTAGAGATCACAATATTTAATATAAAGTAATAACTTAGCTGCTCATATTCTTTAGAAATGTGAAGTTTGAGCTTTCTGAAAACAAGAGGCCTTAAAAGCTTCCTCAAAACTTTCTTGCCAGGAAGCGGGTTGTTTTCAGTCCTCCATTTGGAATCTTTTCATTTAACATTGTTGGAAGCTACAGTATATTCAGCATAAATGCTGTTTGGTGCTCTCACTGTCTCTTGTTGAAGTCATACTGTGGCCCTTTAATGGGAATTGTGTATAAAACAGAAGCATAGGGAAGTCACAAGATTCTAGGTCTGAATGGGTCAGGGATTTCAGGAGAGCAGCTATAGGAAAAGATGAGCTAATTTTCTAAGTGATTAACCAGGAAATGCTCTTCCTTCCTAAATGCAATGCGCTCTTTCAGCAGCAAGTGTCTCCTTTCTGGTGGGTATCCATTACCTGTGAAAGCTGTGAAATTTTTTACATTAATGGAGAATTCTCCTGTTTTAATAATTTCCTTGTCATTCTAGTGATATCTGTAATGGTAAGTTCTCTCTTGTTTTAATACTTTATTTTAAATAGGTCTTCACAATATATTTTTAACTTATTAAATATAATTGTATTTATATTGACAGTAGATCTAAGGTTTTTAATAGCTATATTTTGTATCTATGTTGACATATTGTTTATAGGATAAAGGATGTACATTCAGTATTTATGTTGTGTTAGAGTAATATGTGGGAAACAGCACTTAAAACATAAATTTCATTGCTTCATGCCTGTTCATACTTATTTTATAATCAGTTAGAGCCAGTCCTGTATAAATGAGCAAAATGCACAAGAAAGAAACAAAGAGATTTTCTCAGGACCACCTCAGGTATACCCTCTAGGTCTTTCTGTAGTTTACAGCTGTGTTCAGGATATCCTAAGTGAACACCAAGTGGCAGGATAAATTGAAGTGGAACCTTTAAATACTCACCAGCACTCCAAACTAGTCAAATGCAAACTGACAATACTTTCAGGTCATGACTAGTGGAAGCGTTACTAGACTGATTGTCCTCAGATTGTCATTCTGTATCATTTATTACATATGTGCGGTACACATTCAGTTGACCTGAATAATAAAAGGCTAGGTGCTTATGTTCAAGTCTTCCTTCTCAAATGAAAATATAAGGAGACCATCTCTAAATGAAGGAGAATAGTCTGGTAACTAAAAGGAAAAGATGTTCAATAATATAGATGCAGCTTTGTGATCTGAGTTTAGTTTTGTGCTCCCCAGCTGATACGGCTTGAAACTGCTGCATATCACGCTGTGGAAATAGTGGAAGATCTATATGCTGTAGCAATTTGTGCCATTAATAGTAACAGGATTTGAGAGCATCAGGTTAGACTTCTTGGATTCAGGGTGTAAGGAGTTGGAGACCTCAGGAGTTCAGCCTTATCAAACTGAAGTTGCTACCTCCTTGACTCAAATAAAATACAAAGAGAACTTCTTAGCTTACCTTTCTTGTTCCTATTTGCCACCAAAAGATTTGATGCTTTTGGAGATTTAAGGTAGGGGAGTCTTAGATAATGCTGTATCCTTGTAAAGACAAATTACGAAATCCTGGTATTAGAATTTTTAATATGCTAATTTTAAAACAGCCATGGAGCTGGATCTCCTGCCATGCATCACTTGCAAAGTACACATGCACGTAAGCTCTCTTTGTCCTTAACCAACTCTCTGACACAACTATGAGAGAGCAAAGGAGAAAGGGTACTTGCTACTTTTAGGAGATTAGTATAATACTGCACAAGGCCTCACAAGTCTTGGTTAACCCTCTCAGTTGAACGTCTCAGCATTTCAGCACCTTAATATGAATGTAGCTCAGTCAGTAAATAATAAAAAGTGACTTCTGTAACAAGACATGTTTTAACTGTTTTCTTGTTAATGGGAACACAGTGGAATTTGGTTTACCTCAAAGATGTTCTATTACATCCCTGCTTAGATGACATGGTTGCAGCAATCTGCAATAAATTAAACTTTTAAACTTAAATGGATATTGCATGTATATTTTCTGTGTGTGTTAAATTACAAATGACAGATTATCATAGTTGAAAGTAAATATTTCACACTTCAGTAGTTCCTACTCACGCTTTTATCAAAAAATAATCATTACTACACAGACAAGTTAAAAAAAAAAAAAAAAGTGGACCAGTTTTTCATTTTATGTAGCTTACTGATTTCTATAAAGTTACTCCAGGGATTAGTTTGGCTGTATGTGTAACTAAAAAAGCCATTAATCTGTTCACTTTCTTGAGTGTACTTTTTCATAAGCACCAAGAACGATTAGAGAATGACTTTCAAAACTACTGGATAGATCATATGCTTTCTGTATAGTATGCATTGTTTTTGTATTAATTTCTGAGTATCCTCTTCAAGCACCACTCGATCACATGCCGATTTACAAATTTCCAGTTGCAACCTTACTTTGAGGTTATAGGTCTGACCTATAGTATTATTCACCTCTCAGTGATGTCAGAGGAGAATAACAGTTGAATTCCAGACCTCTGACATCAGCCTGACCTGAAACCTTCTTGCAGTAGCAACTAGAAAAGGGCTACTGAATCTAAATTAGCAAGAGCTGAAGAAAGGCTGCGCGTGAAATGGACGGAGTCCTTCCCAGGGCCGAAGACATAAGGCTGCAATAAATCAGTACATTCTAGTGAGGGAAGTTGCTTTAGATACTGGCTTGGTGCCATTCTGAGTGCCACAGGAAGGTTGGGAAAGGATTTGAGTTCACAGTGATAAACAGCCTCCTTCATTCATTTCTTGATCTGCCTTTGCGTTTTATGTCATTTTATTTTTTATTTTAATCTTTGCTAGGTTGGTCACAGATTTCACTCGGATGTCAGTTTGAAGGTCTAGTAAGTGACCCTGATTTGCATGTGATAGCTTAGTAAAATGAAGTTAGTAGGGGCTGTGTTTGCTGAATGCAGTATAGCAGAGAATCAGGAGAGGGAGTCCAGGAGCCCTGCGAACCGGCCGTGGAGGGGGTGGGGTTGTTGCCTCAGCTGCTCCACCCTCACTTTGTGTCAGCAGGTAGAGAGTGCTTGCAAGTCCCAGGGGAGGGAGGCAAAGAGCTGGGAACACAGAAACTACAAACCACAAGCTTCCTTCTCCAGGGATTTATCCAGAAGTGTTTTTCTGGAAGAAAAGCTTTTCTACGACTTCAGCAGAAAACTCTTCAAGTCTGTTCTACGACTGGGGGTCCCTGTTCCTTCTGGATTTCTTTGCCTACTTTATAATGATAAAGCAGCCTGCCTGGGTTCGCTGCTGGATTGCTGCTGATGTTTCAATTTCTTTTCTTTCGTGCTCACTACGTTTAGAGCTGATAATTTTATACGCTGTAACAAGAGGAGAGACTTTTATATTTTAAAGGAATTTTTCAGAAATGTTTTTCGATTCTTTCTAAAGTCTTTAGATTACATGCGGACACTTCGCTTTCAGACATGCCTGCCCCAGGAGCTTTCTGTCTGCAATAATTTTCTCCCTTTGATCTTGTTGGATTCTCTTTTGAGTTGTGGAACTACACTCGCACCTACCTGCCTAGTGCGTCTATGTGAGAGAGATTTTTTTTTTTTTTTTAAGAACAGATTGGTTTAAAAAACAAGACCAACATCATCAGACCCACACAGTTCTCTTAAGCTATTGGAAATAGCTTTTGTCTAGGATTTATAGAAACATTTCCATCTGTCTCAGCTCCTGTGGATTCCAGCAGGCACACCGCGTAACAGGTTTGCAGACCTCTTTTTTTTTTTTTTTTAAATCACTTTTTCTCTTCATAGCGGAGTGATCAGTGTAACGTTCGATTTAGTTGCAAATTTCCTCTGTATCAATTAGCCCAGTTATGAAGACGCTTCGATATGTTTCAGGTGACCTTTGGGCAGACCATGGAACTTTATATTTTATTTTGTGGGGCCTTCATTTAGGATCTTATTAATATGTGCTTGAAAGTGGTACTACTGGAACTCAAGTGCGTGCAGAAATATTTTGAAAGGAACAAGATGTGCTGTAACTTTTTGCTTGGTATCTGCACCTAAACTTTTAAAGTGTTTTGGAGCCTTTTTTATTTTTCATGGGAACTTAAAAATATGAAGAGAAGCTACTTACCCAACTAATTGTCTTTGAGAACTGCATCTGAAAATGGATTATTAGGAGAAAACTAAAATTGAGCTCCAAATATAAGTGAAGCATTTCTGGCAGAGCAAGGATGTAAGGATTCAAGAATATTTGGAGGAGAACAACACCTTAGCATGCTTTTTTTTCCTTTAATATAAATTCAGGAAATACCTCCTGCATAATTTTCAAGACGGATACCAATGACTGTAGTTAACATTAAAAGTGAAGAGCTTGAGCTCACATTGTGAAAAAGATGACTTGCTGGCAAGAAGGTAAAATTGTCTTTCAAGTACCTTTGAGATGGATGTTTTGAACCTGTTGATCTTCCTAAACGTTGGACAGGAGAGGCAAGGTCATCGCTTCTGTGGAGAAATCTCCCTGTTCCTCATCTCTGCAGAACTGAAGAATTCTTATTGCTACATGGTATTCCTGTATATCTGAACTGATTTCTTGGTTGTGACCTGTTCATTCTCTTTCACTGATCTTTCTGGATTTATCTGCTGGAGGAGGAGGGACATGTAATTTAGGAATTTTTTTTGTTGGTTTGTTTAAAATATGTTTTTGAGCTTCCAGAGGCCTTTGAGCACGTGGCACCGAGGAAGAGAAATAGTGATGGTGAGAAATAGAAACAAAGTTCAGTAAGTAGTGTTGGCAGGAGAAAGCTGGAGGTAACTGGTCCCCTCTCTCCTCTTTCTCCTGGGTCCCAGTAACTGGAATTGCACACTCTTAAACCTAACGAGCTTTGCCTACTGTTGGAACCTGCTGGCAGGGTGAGGACGCATTCCTGAGCGGTATGTGTGGCCGAAGCGCACTGCTGCAGCTGGTAGCATGAGTGCTGGCCCCCAGCTGCAGCTGGCTGTCCTCTGGCCTTGGCTGCTAATGGCTACCCTGCAGGTAGGACTTGGCCATACAGGGCTGGCACTGGTAGCAGCAGTCGAGTCTGAGAGATCAGCAGCACAGAAAGCTATCATTAGGGTGATCCCCTTGAAAGTGGAGCCAATCATATTGGAAGGAGAGTTCGCAAATGTTGCTGAGGTTACTCCAGCTGAAGGAAAACTGCTTCAGGTAAGAGCAGCTTTATTTTATCCATTTCTATTGGTCTGATGTTCTCGGTCCTTCTGTTCTTTTCCCCTTTCCCTTACTGCATCAGCTGCTAATGCAATGGATTTGTTTTTATTTCCCAGTTACAGATTTATAACCTAAGAAACAAAATTTTTTTGTGTATGAGCTGTCCACCTGTTTGTTCCTTTGTGTTACTGCTCTTGGACATTGTTCTAAGATAGAAGTGCTTATGTATATATTATTGGTCGATTCTTCATTCTCTCATGATCTGTAATTGTGCTTGTATTAATGCTGAATTTTGGGTGTAGTCAATTGATCCCATGAAGATTATTGCGTATCTGAATTGGTGTTATAAAGCAGAGTGCATTGAGTCACATTTTGGGACAGCAAACACCTGTCAGAAAGCATGAACATTTTGTATGAAATCCTTAAGGTTTCCTGCGCGCTTCTCCTAATTAGATAGAGTTCTTTTAAAGTTATAATACCCATCCACATTTTGCCCACTGGGTTTGTTGACCCTGCTAGTTGTATTCTTGTGTATTGGCTGTACCTGGAAATTGAGTTGTTATCTGTATGATAGTTCCTGTAGTGTCACCACCATATATTTTTGTACATGAAATTAATGCCATTTTCTGAGGTTTACTAAAAGTAGAGAGCATATGAACATCTTCTCATAAGATGCAGGTGCTGCTAAGAGACAGGTGTGCTAGTCGGTGAACAGACTGACCTTCTGCATACTGTGTTTTTAAAACTCAGTTTCTCGAGACAAGCACAGTACACTGCTACCTTCACATACTGTCTCATTTCTGTTAGCAATTTACTTGGAGGCACATGCTCTATTCTTGAGAATCAAATATTACAAAATTCATCAAGACAGACAAAATAGCCTACATTAATATTAAATATTAATTTTTGCATGGTTCTTGCCAGTCGTGACTTTTCAAATGTGATATTTTATAATCTTAATAAAATCAGTAGTTTGTAAATTTAAATTAAAATAATAAATATTGTATGGTCTTATAAGAAAAGAAATACAAGTGAGCTAGCCTTACAATACAATCACCTGCCTAAAGAAGAAAATGGACAATTTGTGAGGCTTATAAAGCCTGCTTGTAAAGCCTTTTGAACTCCTCAGAATGAAAGCACTGTTATAAAATTATATTACCAGGGTGAAAAGTATCTTAGACAAATGTACTCAAGGTCCTGTTTTGTCATGAGGCAATGTCCAGGAAAGTCAATATTTATTCCATGCAAAAACTACAGTGGTGTTGCAACTGAGCACAAAGTATAGAGTATAGACCTTTTAGAAATGAGAAGATGATAACCCCTGTTGTGTGGCGTTTGAACATTTTAACCAAATGCAGTGATTCAAACTGTGATTTTTGTATTATGTGAAGTCACTAAAGCCCACTCTGTAGCATTCAAAATGTCTAATTTGTTTATGCTAAGACATGAATAGTGTTGGATTTACGAACGAGTTTAATTCTTTAAAAATCATCCTCAAAACGAGGAGGTTGGAGAAACACTAATCTTATCTGTTTAATTTATGTAAACAGATACTGTACAGTGCATGTGGTTTTTAGGCCCTGATCCTTCAACTAGATTTGCTCAGGTGATCATTCCTATTCTGTATCCCACAGAATTCAGTCCTATTTTAAAGGGTTCACACAGCTGGATCTGGTTTTAGGATTAGGGTATGAGGTTAGGATTTGGGGGTCAAACTGTATCTTCTGCAACAGGGTGTTTATGTGGTGCCAGGCACAGTGTTCAGAAAAAACTTGTTCAGGTTTGCCTGTGACCTTTGAGTATATATTATGCTGTAGTTTCTACTTATGCTATTTCATATCAAAACTCGTCATGCTATTGAAAAATTATTTGGGGCCAGATCCTGCAGTTGATTCCTGCCTTTGGAAAGATGAAACTTGAGACAATCTATGAAATGCTGCCATAACTGTTAAGGTACAAAATAAGTAAGAAACTAATAGGAGAGAATATTTGTAGTTCACTTCTAAACAGGAAGATATTAATTACACCTAAATTATACTTTATTGGAACCTCCTGGTTTAGATGTAGTTGCCAATGTCCCAATCCAGCAAAAACATTAGGTAATATACTTTAACTTTGATTTCACTGGAACTCTTATTTAAACAAAGCTAAGGCTGTTCACAGATACCTTCATATAGGTACATAGCATGATTATTTTTACAGTTCATGAGTGAAGAAGGGAAGTCTAGTTTTTATACCAGTTTTGGCTTTGTCTACTTGGCTATGTCAGAATTAGTAAGGTGCAATCAGTCATCATGCGCATCACATGAGAACATAAACTGCATAGGTTATCTCAGAAAAGAAAAATGCATGATTGGGCTCTTTTTTCAAAATAGTGTGCTGCTAATTCAGTGATATGATAGGATTGCTTAAATATAAGAGCTGCAGAACTAGTCCCGTATTCAAATAAAAAACTCTTTAACTTATAATTATGTTTATATTGTTTTGATCAATATATCTTTAAAAATATTTTATTGATTTTTGTAAAGAAAATCTGGCATATAAAATATTAAGCCTCACCAGAATACTTCTGGTTTTCATTTCTTCCTATCATATTCTCTAGGATCATCTACAGAAAACAACTTTGATCATAAGTATTACATTCTAAGAACCTAACTTAAAAAATTTTCCTTACCTCCAAAATAATTCAAATGTCAAATTCCTTCTCCCACCCTTCTCCCCTGTGATCAGTTCTTCTGGGAAATCTTGGATTTTAACTTTTGCAGTATGTCCTTAAGGTCACTGAATAGCAGTATATGGCTGAGCTGGTAAATTCTAAACTGCTCAAACTAGGCAGCGTTACCTCTGGCACTCCAGAGGATCAGGACTGCTGTAGTATGATGCAAAAGGAGAGGAATTTCTCAAGTAGGCAGAGCCACTTAAGACTTTATAGGTCAAAAAACCAACACCTTAGACTTCTTACAGAAATGATCTTCAAGCTTGTTCAGTGCACAGATATTACATGCTCTAAGCATTAATTATTGCTCAACAAACAAGAAGTAGCATTGTGTACTGGTTTGCAGTTTCCAAATGGTTGGAAGCTCAGATCTGTGTTGAGCTTGCCGCAGTAGCTTATACTTCAGAAGAAAAATGTCCATGGAAGTCAGAAAGAGGCCCTATGTTAAAAATGGAAAAATCAACCCTTTTAGTCAGGTAGGAGACACTTTGGATCTCACTGCTAATTGGAGATTCAGTAGCAATTAAGGATTCAACATTCCCTCCAAATTGCATTTCCTGTAGCTGTTTGCCAGGTCAGCTCACATGGGTATGACTGCCAATGCAATTTCTGTGACCTCTATTTTTGATATTTCTGTTCTGTTAGCTTATTTTTGATGAATAAATCTTCTTTCCTCCTTCCCCATGCTTCAGGCTCCATTCGCTACTGGAGAGATTTCACTGTGTTGAAGGCAGGATAATACAGATAGTGTCAGAAAGTGTCAGAAAGAAGAGGATAGAGCTGCTTCAGAGACTTGAGAGGAGGTTCAGGTTTTGTCCAATTCACATTGAATTACAATAGTATTCATGTGCAAATCTAATACTGTGGAATAAAAAACTTTTTATCTGAGAAATAGGTCATCACTTAATTAAAGGCTCTTTAGTAAAGTATATAAACAAACATATATCTTTTTAATTTAAGTATATGTAGTTCCAATCTTATATACAGGGGAAAGGATGATACTGTTAGCGTGTATGATGTGAGTGGGATTGTTATTGGAGTATAGTTCTGGTGCCAGTATTTCAGGAATAATATTAAGAGATCTCCCAAACAATGAGATCTAAAGAGAAAAATGTAAATTCAAACTAAATTTATTATAGGGAAGGCAAAGCAACTTTATATGCCAACATAGAGAAAAAACTTCGGATAGTGAAACAGTCTTCTTGTTTAGCAGACAAAAGCATATAATCAGTTTTGCCACATGTATTATTTTATTGCAAGTCTCACAATACTTTGTGTTTGTTTCCTTTTAATCTTAAGCTGTTATATAATTGGGTGATTGTATGAGAAAGTCAACTTTCATTAAACCACTGAGCACATTGTTTTAGCTTATGACTGCAGGAAAGAACTTGACAACACAGAACAAACTCCCTAAAGGCTCAGAAACCAGAAAGCACAAGGACTGCTCTCTCTCCCTTCCCTCCCTCCCCCCTCCTCAAATAAATTATTTAAAAAATATTACTTTAAAAGTCATCCTTCTGATTAGGGTGAGATGTGTTAGAGTCCGAGGAGGATCCTGAGTCATTTTTTAGGTGTTGAATACAATTCAGGAGCTGAAAATCTACTCTAGATGTAGTCAGAAAAGAAGCACGATGCATATTTTTAACAGCAAAAACTCAACATTGAAACAAGTTGCATGCTGGTCTAATGAATCCAGCATGATCATCATAGATTGCACATCCTAGAAATTGAGAGTGTTTCCAATGTTGCAATGCATAGTGCTGTTGGAGAATTATAATCACCTACTTAATTGCTTGTAGAGGGTTACAGTCCCAACCCATAAGAAAGTAAATATATTAGTAGTCTTATATACTACTAGCTCCTGGATCAACAAAAGCATGTTGAGTGCATAGTGTTGACAAAGATCAAAGAAGTGGGAAAGTCTAACCAGATGATAATGGGGACTTAAGTTACCTGTGAATAAACTGGTCAGATAGCACAATAAGAGTGAGTTCAAAGAAGCAATTTCTGCTTCTTGGAACAGCTAGTACTAAAGTACACACAAAGATATTCTTGACTTAGTGTTAAGTAACATGCAAGGACTACCTCAAAAGCTAGCAATAATTAAGCCACTAGTATTGACTTCAGTATAATAAAATTCAGTGCTTAAGTACCAAAAAGGGGAACTCTGACATTAATTTTTAGGATTGAAAATTGCAGTAAAGGGAATCAGTGAGACGAATGGCTCTTACAGTTAAAGAACAAAAATTAAAAAACATCTTTAGATGTGACATAGATACTG